TAGATGTGGTAATTCCGAAAACAATCGAAACATGGGTAATCAACCACGTTGAATCTCGTAGCAACATTTATTTTCCAAACAAGTTCCAAAAATCTAGTGAAAACCTATATTAAGTGAAATAATCTGTTTTTGCCTATTTTTGAGTAAAATCAAAAAATTCAACAAAACAAAGCATTCCTTCAGCTTTATTTTCATCTTTCTACATGTGTGTTCAATTTTCTTTTCGCTCACGTTTCCTTTTAAATGTAAATGAAAAGGATTATGTGACTTCTCTACTACGCGCCATCAAACGTTAAAGAAATTTAGTTTCATCTTTGCCGCATCAGTCTATATTTATTTTATCAATCTACTTTTAGTTTTTTACAGCAGCTTCTGGAAATGCGATTTGTAATTGAATAAAATATATATTTAATTATACTGAAACCAGCAATTTGTTTTTTAAGTAACTCTCGTATGTTATCAAAGAAGAAACCTATAACTATACACCATCTATATATACAGTCATTGTCAAGTACAAAAATCGTACAGAGTGACTACATTGAAGTAAAAACAAAACTGAGAAGAATATATATATATATATATATAAAATGGTGTAGTTTTGGCCTGAACATTTTCGCGGAATGTTTTTTCTGTTCCATAGAACTGATCGTATACCGTTAGAATAAATAGGCCGAAAATTCGTGTGTAAGAATTTATATTTATAATAAGTTCTTAAGCATGATAAGCCAAGTTAAGGGTGTTGCAGCCGCAATTGTATTCAAGCTTTTATTCCTACTGTTGTCCTTTAATACTGAGAATGCTATTGACTGTTTAACTTCGGTTTTTCTCTTTTAGATTGAAAATAATTTATTTAAGAGGATTTATGAATTGTCGGTTTGGTTATTTTTGTGAAAGTTTGGTTGTGTTTGTGCATCATTTAAGACAAAACGATCTGTCCGTAGATAACGCAATCACATATTTTTGACTTTCAAAGTCTGCTTCTCTTAAACGACAAAAACTGAAAACCTGAATTTGCCTTGTAGATATATGATAAGGAGGGCTCTTACTTCTATAAATATCAACTCGTATGGATTTTTGATTCGGCTTCTGTAAGCAAAATACACATCGGTAATGCAATCACCAAAAAGGCCCTTCTGTTCTCATGAATTTGAAAGATATTAAAATTGCTGCATGATGAAGTAATTAATCGTATACTAGGTTGTAGCTTAGATTTCAGGCTATCTAATTCAAAAGAAAATTCCAAAAGATTGAGTCCTGCAAGAAATATCATTAAAACATCGTGGTATCACGCATATTTTTAAACATTTTTAAAATTAAATTTTTGAGCTCAAATTCGATCTTCTTTTATGCTTTCAGCTTTCCCAAAGGTATATAAAGGTGCAATTTTATCTTCGCTTTGCAATCATAGTAAAAAAACAAGAGATTCTTTGGTTAGAATTTTTTATTAATATTGATTTTCATTAAAAGAAACAGTCGATTTACCTGTTGTAAAGTCCATTTAAAATCGCGCCATGACACCGCGATTCGCGCCGCGACAAATAGAGAGTCGTGCTGACTCCCGTAGCATAAGCAAGAGTCGCGACTCGATAATGCCAGTGTAAGTAGTTCTATGCAAGATCACATCGCAAGAATAGCAAATATACATCCCATTCAGTAGTATATCGCGACAAAATAGCGATCGCTAAAATCGCGCCTTATTTCGCGAGTCTTATATAGGGGTGGCACTTTCTCTTTCTTTCTCAAAAGAAAGGAAAATAGAAAGTAACTTTTCTTTCTTTTGGGAAAGGAAAGTTTTCTACTTTCTTGCTTTCTTTTCTCATAAAAAAGAAAGAAAAGTATGATATAACTTTCTTTTGTATCTTTCTCGATGAAGAAAAGACTTTATTGCAAAATCAAGTCCATATTCGTGATCAGCGTCGAAAACCGGATCAAGCGTATCATAAGTGCTTATTTACGTAGTCATTTTGCTATTGACTTATGAATCAAAACAAGAATACTTTTTACCTTTTCTTGTTGTTAAACAGAAAGAAACATGTCGTTTAATGATTTTTATTATGTCTTTACGATATGATTTATTATTATAATGTACCGGATGCATGGATTTTTCAACGATTGTATAACTCCAGAATAAATGCTGAAGGTTGGCTGCAGGTCAAATATCACACTAAAGCAGCGTAAGTCTCGTGTACAAGTGTGTCCTATCACTCTTCTACACTTTTAATTTTGTAGATTTTATTGTGAAATATGTAAAAAAAATTGGAAATCTGCGCGTACAACAATATTATACCAATGTAAATTTGATGAGCAACAAAATTTTGGCAAAGTACAAATGAAAAGATTTGGTCAACAATGCAACAACTGTGGCGAGGGTACAACCTATTATCCAGCTCAATACAATCTTGATCAGATATGCAGATCTTTACAAGTCCTCTTTGTAAAAGTACTTCAGGAGTTTTATGGTTATCAAATACAGCAAGGTGGTGGTAGATATCGTCGACCAAAGACCACCACACCACCACATGCATCAAAATATTGTGAGGCATGTCATTATCGTGTTTGCGGACAAGAAGAAGAATAAATACAAGAAAACGGTCAGGTCGTATGTGATATTATTAGTCGTTCCGGTTTAACATTTTAATTTTTTTATTAAGAAAAATAACAAAAGACCTGAGACTGCTGAGCAGTTATTATCGCAGACCTCTCTGCTAAATAGCTGCGGAACCGCTGTGGTAATGTTCTTCCGATCTTATTTTTCAACTTGAGCCCTCATGACCAGTTGTCAAATGCTTTTTAAAAATATAGCAGAATAACTCTAACATAACCATTCTGCTTCATACCCATGTTAATTTTATGCGTAACGACCTCTAGCAACAGATTTGTTGTACTATTTGTGTCTATAAAACCAGACTGAAAAGCTGTTAATAATTTATTTCACCTTTCATAGAGCTAACAAGAGTATGATTGATCCGTAATTGTTAGGATCTAGCGTATCGCCTTCATTATTGCCAAGTTTTTTTAGTATTTAAGAAAGATCGTTTGGATCAACAGAAATTCATCTTAGTTCCAGGAAGACAATCAGCAACTGAATCTTGAATTTTGGGATCTGTCCATGTAGAAACTTTTTGTGAAATAATTGTCAAGAATTTCTATTCTCTTTCAGCTCAGTAATACGGCTTGTCCACGTAACCGTATCCTTTTTTCGCTCTTTTTCAAAAGATTATTGCAGTAAAGCTACAAACTAATCTAAGATTGCAACTACATGATTAAGTACATTAAACATTTCTCTATAAAATGAAAAGTGTCTTGGCTCTGAATGTTGATTCGTTATGAAAATACAGCTGTCGTACAAACAGCCCCCAAAATCGATTTTGGAGCTATCTGAAAAACGTGTCTAAAAGACTGAAGACGAGCAGGCGAAAATTGAACAAGTATACCAGTTTGTAGAAAATTGTTTGCCCTACAAGATGTGATAACTCGTTAAGTTCGAAACTATTCTAATTTGTAACTGTCACAGCGTTACGGTTTTTCTGATTTTTCTTTGATTAATACAGATTAATTAGAATAGTTTCGAACTTAACGAGTTATCACATCTTGTAGGGCAAACAATTTTCTACAAACTGGTATACTTGTTCAAT